TAATTCTCACAAGAGAATTTTCAAGTTCTTTTCTGTTTTCCCCATTTTCAACTGATTTTCCTTTGAATTTGGGATTTGGAAAACTGGAATTTCCTGAGCAATGCTAGGAAGGGATTCCCATATGGAAAACCTGGTCAAGATCTACTCCAGACCTATCAGGCAGGCCCACAAGCAGGCTCTCTGGAAAGCGGAGTAGAGAGCCTGATGAGGGGGGAATAGCTGGGACGCGGGGGCCCCAGCACAAAGCCCCTGTGGCAACAGTAAAGCACAAGCCCATCTTCTTCAGTGTAGCCTCAGCCAGAAAATGTCCTGGAAGCAGAAGCAGCAGCCTCACTTAAGTCAATGAAGAGCCTTCAAAGATTGAAAGAAGGTTGACAGCTTACTTGGAAAGGACAAGTCCTGACTTAGCCTTTATGACTTGAAAGAGAGAGAAGGAAAATATCAACATTAGGGAATGTTGACCTGCCTGGTTTCATTAGTTCAAGTTAAAACTGTACCTACTTATTTTGTTACATAAAGTTGAGTTTCTTCCTAGGTTTTTTTTCTTTTTTTGCTTCGGAAGCCAAACAGCCTTCTGGTGATATTGACAGATTTGGTTTTTATAGTTCCAAAAAGATGGTAGATTTGGAATCTTGAGACATATTTCTCCTTGAAACCACATTTAAAATGTTTATGGGAGAAAATTGTGTTTGTTAAAATGATGACTTAGTCATGACCAGCTGATTTTACCCTTCAACCCTAGTGATAATTAACTCACCATGACATTATACAGACCTCGCTCTATTTCATTATTCTCTATAAACGGACTTCACAGATTTCTTTAAATTTGGAAAATTACCTAAAAGCACATTTCCTATTGTTAAAATGTATTGCAAGTAAAATAAGGGAATTCTGTAAGAGATTAACTTTAAAATTCTAGAAATGTCAATGCATTACGGCATGGCTCCCAGCTCTGTATCCTTTAGGTCTTATGCAGATGAGAAAGCTGCTCCCTCTGAAGAGGGAGTTGGGATGCTCAAGCCTCATGTGGGTGATGCTTAGGGGCTAGAGAAGAGGAACAAGCAGGCACATGATGGCAGTGACCCCTGAGTCTCCAGGCCCTGCTCCTTTTGGAAAAGTGTCAGAATCCTGGGGAAGTAGTGGCTCCGATAAAGAGCAAGACAGATCCAAGCTGCAGTCCTGGGATTTCTGTTTGAAGTTTGACATTGTGGGGAGGAAGACAATCAAGGCTGCCTTGTAATTTTAGTTTTGGACAGGTGGAATGACAAGAGAAACAAGCCTGTTACTTTAGGGTCAACAAGAGAGGAACATTTTGTAACAGAAAACTGTCATTCTTTAAGGCTGCTGTAGCGTGGCTTATTCCCATGAGGGGACAAATTGGGTATGGCCATCCGGAAATTGAGAGGTAATGTGGGATGGGGAGAAAATGGCCATTTGCAAGATGCCCCCAGGGATTTTTCACTCTCTGAGCCAAAGAGGAGGAAAGGATCACAGGTCCATAGTTCCAGAGATCCAACTCCTGGAATCAAACACAGACTTCTCTGTTGGAGTTTTGGTGACTTTTCATACTCCAGGGTCATCGACCACTTTACTCATCATATTTACTGTTGTTTATAAGGTAACGCTGACTTATAGTAGAGCTCCAATGTTCTCTCCAAAAATCAGAGAGAGAGGCATCAGTAAATAATTAACTTGGTTGCCAAGGGAACAGTTTCCTGAGTGGACTGAAGACAGGCACTGAAACAACCTTCACATGTCCTGGCCAAGGGAGGCTAGAAGCAGACAGTGACCAGGTAAGCAGACTTCCATGTAGATCTTTGGACAAGGAATGAATAGGTTGTTTTAGGGCCAAGGAAGCAAATCAATACTTTCTTTGTCATAACTAACAGGCTACCCTGGAGAACAGAGCTGCTGGCGGAAGCTCGGGACCTCTGGCAAGCTGGGAAGCCTAAAGAGCTTTCTGTCATCCTCACTGTAAGTGTGAGAGAACCACAGATTTCCCTCAAATAAAGTATACCAAACTTGAATTAAGCTGCTATTGCTTATCATTGCAGTTCAATGGGGAGAGGTTTTTAATGTCTATCTAGATAAGCAGTCTTTGAATTTAATTTTTTTTATTTTTAAACAATTCGAGATGTACAGAAAAGCTGCAAACATAATACAGAGAATTCTTATAAACCCTTTACGGTTCATCCAGATTCACTTTTCCACATTGGCTTTATCATTCCCAGTACCATCTGTCTGTCTATCCCTCTATCTATTTTTAGTCTATCTGTCTATCTCCATCCATCCACTCCTACATCGAATCTACCTACTGCTCCATCCATCCATCCATCCATGCATCCATCCATCCATCATCTGTCTATATAAAATCTCATAGATTACGTACCTCCCCTCCAACTGCATCCAGTGACTATTTTGTAAAATAGAGAACATTCTCTTATATACCCAGAGGGCAATGATCAAAATCAGGATACAATACTATTATCTAACCAACAAACCTTATTCAACTTTCACCTATTGTCTACTGCTGTCCTTTACAATCAAAGTGGGAAAAAACCCTCAGGTCCGGGATCTAATCTAGGATCACGCATGACGTTCTGTTGTCCCCTTAGTCTCCTTTAATCTGGAACACTTCCTCCATATTTCTTTGTCTTCCCGAGTTGACATTTTTGAAGCATACAGACCATTTCTTTTGAAGAATGTTCCTCAATTTGGGTTTGATTGATGTTTCCTCAAGATTATAGGTTCCGGTTCTGTATTTTGGCAGGAAAACCATAGAAGTGATATTGTGCTCTTCTTGCATTATATCAGGAGGCCCATGATATCTGTTTGTCTGACAACTGGTGATGTGAATGTTAATCACTCAGTTAAAATTATCGTTATTTATTTTAATATTCAAATGTCCCAGATTTGGCCAGTGGAAGCCCCTCAGACTGGTCATTGTGGTTTGTGACATGTCCCCATAATTTTTTGAGCAGTTTATAACTTTCTAAAATAGAAAGATATCCCAGCCCCAGCCCTAAAATTAGCTATTTCTCCAAAGACTAATAATTCCTTTTACTGGAAAATATTTAGAAACAAGATCTTCATGCTGCATGCTGAGTGTGACCAAAGTGTGTGCATGAGTGAGTAAGTACGTGTTCATGTATAAGATAGAAATATAATTAGGTTCACTTATTTTTGTGTATACTCCATTTTGATTTTCTATCTTTATTGATTTTATATATTTATATTTTAAGCATTTGAAATATACTATGGTTCTAGAAGTCAAAACTATAGCAAATATATGGTTAGAGAAATGTCACTCTCCCACACCCCTTCTATTCCCAGTTTTTTCTGCCCTATTTCCACCGCCACCCATCATAACCAATCTAATTATTTTCTCTTTTATTCTTCTTATGTTTTACTTTGCAGAAATGAACATCTACAGGAATATTTTTTCCCTTATTTCTTACCTAAAAGGTACATAGTGTAGATACTATTTTTCTTTTTCCACTTAACAAAAGATACTGGGAATTACCCCATATCAGTTCCAAGGGACAGTCTTTGTTCTTTATCATAGCTGCATAGTACTTCAGCTACATAGTTTTTTTTTTTTTTTCAAACCTTTTTCAGTTACAACGAATACTGCACAGAATTACCTTATGTGTAAGTATTTTCTTATTTCTGGAGGTAAATCTCTAGAGGTGGAATTACCGGCACAAACAGAAA